ACTCATAACAACCCAGTATAGGGTTCCCAAGGAGTGGCTGGGGACTTTGAACCGCCACCTTCAAACTGACCTTGCCACACTAGGATTCCGGCCATCACAGTAAGGATGAGTTAATTAAACATTTTGCCAAACGTAGCAGGCTAATTTTTAAGTTGATAATTTTGTATGGCCCATGAATGATGTTATAAATTTTGGCAATAAAAAGGTTCCCCCCACCTGTGCTATAGGGGAAGACTCTCTTTGTCATTCTTTTGGAAGATCGACACCTCTGAAACCCTGTACAGGGTCACTATAAGTCGGAACCAACTCAGTGGCACACAATAAAACTACAAATATTTTGTCACCATTACTGACTTTCTAACGTCCCAAAATCTTAGCTCCCACTTCATGCTCATTTCTTCTTTTGAACTTGTGAATGAGAGAATACTCTTTTGTCATAGGCTCTTCTAGTGGAGGTTTTTCAGCGCTGTAATGCCCTTTAGTTCTGTCTTAGGCAATATTTGGGAACTAGTATGAAGTTAATACAGACCACTGTTAGATGTTTAAAATAGTCTGATAAAAGGGAGAAAGTAGAACAACTAGAACATCATCTGGTATTTTAAGTCAATAAAAACAACAAAACAAAAGCAAACTCATGCTTTTGAGATTTAATCATTGGTTAGAGTCTGGGGGCTATAATAGAATGAAAATGGTGCTGCTGAATTTTATCACTCGTTTTGTATTACAAGGGTCAGACTTAGTATGCACGTCTTATCAAGGCAGAAGCTATTATTGGATGATTGGAATTTGGTAAGAGTAAACTCCGCGGGAGAAAGATGAGGCTTTCTACTCCCGTAAGGATTTACACCCTCGGAAACCCTGTACAGGGTCGCTATGGGTCGGAACCGACTCGACGGCACTTAACAACAACAACAACAAACAAATATTTTGGTGCATTGTCAAGCTCTTATAGCAATTGCTGTTGTTGTTAAGTGCCATTGAGTTGGTTCTGACTCATAGTGACCCTGTATAGGATTTCTGAGGTGCAGCTGGTGGGTTTCAACTGCTGACTTTGCGGTTACAACTCCACTGCATATCCTGTGTGTCACACAACACTGATAACTACATTCCATGTGAGCACTTGTATTTTAAAGCCTGTGTATGATTTTCTGGTCCACATGGAATGATAAGACAAGGCCTTCTTGAAAATCAGCATAAATTGGTATCTTAGGCTGAGTTCTCTAGAGAAGCAAAACCAGTGAAACTTACATATGTATATGTATAAAGAGAAGTTTGTGTCAGAAGAAATGGCTCACAATTGTGGAGTCGCCTATGGAAGAAGAGAGTGAGCCTTTCCCACATGTCCATTATATTAGGAGCAGGCCACACCCCAAAGGAAGCATCTCCCTTCAGTTGATCGGCTACTCATTGCCATTCATCATAGAGTTAATGATGCCTGTGCTAGGTCTCATCACTATGGGAATAACCACAAGTCAACTGCCAAATCAACCCAGTCAAGGTGATGTACCCTTTGTCAACTTGGCATTATATACATAATCTCTAAATAAAGAAAATTATCAAGTCATACTTATGCCAAACATGATATAACTAAAACATGTACAGCACAAACACACTGTCTACATTTGCATCTTACATGTCACAAATGAACAAAACAAAAATACTTGATGCACACATGCAAAACAAAACAAAAAATATATACTCATTTCAGTGTCCAAAGGGCACGTTCTTAAAACCCGCCTCCTGCTTGTAGGCACACAGCCTTACTCAGTCCGTGGTCTATAGTCTGAGGTTGCTCTGGCTCTCCACTGGCTCTGCCACACTGTCTCTGCTGTCGCCACTTTTCTAAGTAGGAATCTTTTACTCCACTTATGCTCTACCTTCTTGCTGGTCCTGGCATTGTCTGTTCGTGAAATGTTAGATTTACTACTCCCCTCTTTTAGTTACACATCTTCAACAATTACAGTTTTGATCACAATTAATCATACTAACAATTGTTCACAATTATAAAATCTTAACCACCAACATACCTTACCCACTTTCACCAGACCCAACTAGAAAAGAAGAAAACTATTTAGTGGGGATTCTACATTATTCCCCTCATTCTGAAACCAAGCATATCCATGAAAGCTTATAAGCCAGCCACTTCATGCCTTTATAGCCACCATTTTTGATAGCCTGGTTTGAAATTGCCTGTCCTATTAACCCAGTACGCCAAGAAGTACAACAAGCACGTTCCTTGATCTGAAGAATCTTTCATTCCGGTTGGAATTTTGAGCAAGTGCATCCATAAACAAAGGTCCATTCAATCAAATTGTAGCACCATAAAGATTTACAGCCTCAGAAACCTTGTGCAGGGTCACTGTGAGTCAGAACCGACTCCAGGGTACTTAACAACAACACTGATCATGGAACCCCAACATGTTTATCGTCACCTGACCAGGTTCTGGTCAACTCAGCAGTAACCATTCAAGCTAGGTCAAATGTGTACTAGCTGCAAGTTTGGGAGGTCACACACACCTCCCTACACCTAAGACCACTTGGTCTTTTCACACTCTGCTCCAGCCCTCCAGGGACTAGGTCAGCGCCCCTGGTCTCAGGAGTTCATACACTGCCCTAAATGTCAGACCAGCCAGCCCTTCTTTGTCTCTCTCTCATCTTAAGGTCAACAGGTGCCAATAGAACATGTCCAAACTCAGCCCATGTCTTCATTGCTGCATTTCCCCAAATTCCACTCAACAAGTAAACCCAGGTGGTCACCAGCAACTATACCTGTATTAGGTGTTATCACCCTGGGAATAATCACATCCCAACTTCCAGACCAACCCAGTCAACTTGACACAAAACCCTAACTATCACAGTTGGTAAGAAGAAAAAAGTGAAATGATTACAAAATGTGCTGGCATAGTGCCCAAGAAAAGTAATTGTGAGGAATGAAACTCCTTCCTTGCAGTAAACAATGTGGCTGTTGGTCCTGGTTCCCAAGAGCCTGCCTATCCCTGAAGGAGGTAGCCTACCCCTGAGGTGCCCCTTGGTCTAGGAAGCTGAGCAGACCAGGAACCACCAGCTGGGAGACTGATGCTGACTAAGCCTCAGGAGACCTGATGTAATCAATTGTGGCCACTTGGTGAGGCTGACAAAGGCCTTGGGAGGTAACGGCTCAGTGGAGCTTTCTGGGTGCTGAAGTTGGATATCTTCTCTCAAGAGGGTAAATGTGTCCCATGTGGACGTGGAAGTGTGGTATTGACACTCCTTTTAGACATCCCCCTTCTAGATTAAAGATAATCTTTTATTTGCTATTTGTGTGGCATTCCAACAGATTGTCAGACCTAAGAAACAGAGATGGAACTGGTTCTTGATGACCTAGCCCCAGGTGGATGGGGATGAAAGAAAACTGCATAGAGCAGTTAAGGTCTGGATGTACCAAGGAAGGAAAGCAAAGATTTCCACAGGGCACAGTTGGCGTGTGAAGGGGGATTTATTATATACACACTTGGTGTCAGAGATGGACCATCTCAGCCTCCCTGAACTGATTTGATAGCATTGTTGTTGTTAGGTGCCACTGAGTCGGTACCAACTCATAGTGACCCTATGCACAACAGAACGAGACACTACCTGGTCCTGGGTCAACCTCACAATCATTGCTACATTTGAGTCCATTGATGCTGCCACTTTGCCAATCCATCCTGCTGGGGGTCTTCCTCTTTTTCTCTGACCCTCCACCTTACCAAACATGATAGCCTTTTCCAGTGACTGTCCCTCCTGGCAATCTGTCCGAAGTATGAGAGAAGAAGTTGGCCATCCTGGCCTCCAAGGAGCACTCTGGCTGCACTTCTTCCAATACAGATCTGTTTGTTCTTTTGGCAGCCCATGGCACTTTCAATATTCTCCTCCAACACCGTAACTCAAAATCATCAATTCTTCTACGATCTTCCTTATGCACTGTCCAACTTTTGCATGCATATGAAGTTATTGAAAATACCATGGCTTGGGTCAGGTGCACCTTAGTACTCAAGCTGACATCTTTGCTCTTCAACATAACAATGGGCTAGTTGGCGAGAATCCTGACAGTGTATTTGTGGATCCCTGGTTTAGTCAAGTTTTAAACCTGTTGGTGCAGAGATACAGCCTGCATGAAGGGCTTATGTAGTGTTTTTCAATGGGGAAGGGAAGTACCAAGCCATGATATGGGCCTAGTACTGCAACTCCAATTCCCTTGAAATGGAGTCTACATGCTGCGCCCTGTGGCAGGCCTGATACGTATGTGGCAGAGCCGCCCCTGCTTAGGAAAACCCTGGAGATGTGGGCCAGCGCTGCCCTCTTGAAGGGGGAAGGATGGGGCAGTTGGTATTGTTTTTGCTCTGGCTTTGACCTTGATTTTCTGCTATTTTATAATTGTGTCTGGTCTGTCATTCTGTTGTATGGTTTGCTTAGTTGTCTGGGCGGTGGGTTTTGCATTCTAGGGAGGAGGGAGCCTGGGGGCTATGGAGCAAAGATAACTCAGGGTTCAGAAATGCCTCTCTGTTGTTGACTTGGGCACGGCAGACAGCCCTGAGGTAGTATCAGCATGATGTTTGGTGCTCTTGGGAAGACAAGTGCATAAAACATTTCTTTTCCAATTAATTCAGCATCAACAAGCTTTTTATATAAATATGTATCCACTCCACAACTCAGGTGAGGACACATGAAATCGCCTTTTGTCTTTTCCATTTGGTTAGATAAATGTTCACTTCAAGGTCATTGAAAATCAGTGTTCTCCTAAAAATGCCCTTCCACAACTTCTTCCCACATTATGTATTCATTGAACAGAACTCTGAGGCACTTGGAGCAAATGCCACTACACAGCATGCGATGTTCGTTGTCTCAGACTTGAGAGTACACACACAGTCCTTACTGCAAACTGTGCTGTTGTTCCAGTGGGCTTTAGTGATGGAGGAAATGTCCCCCTTCTAGGGGCCTGAGGATTGTAGCTTTTTACAAGTCTTTGTCTTCTTTCCTCCCAGGCGCCTTCAGGAAGAAGACCAGCAGTTTAGGACCTCGTCTCTGCCAGCCATTCCCAACCCCTTTCCTGAGCTCTGTGGTGCTAGGAGCTCCCCTGTGCTCTCACCAGGCTCCTTGCCTCCGAGCCAGTCCACAGCTAAGCAGGTGAGCACACCCATGGCCTGAGCACCAGCTGTTTGGCCAGGAGTCTGGACCGATATGCTGACTGACTGCCAACATTATAGGCTTTTTCCCCTATCGGTTCGGTTCTTGTTCAGTTCTTGCATTGTTGCTTCATAGGACTTTGTATTGGCCACACTCCCAGTTATGAAGGCACGGGCATATCTATGTTTCAGAAAGATTCGCAAAAAATGGTAAGGATTGGTTTCACGCTTACAGATTCATTGTAGTTCTCTGAAGGTATTTTACTACCAGAGCATCTTCACTGTCTGCATAAATGAGGGTGGTAGGCTCTTTGAATCCCTGAACATCAGTACATAGTACTGTAAGAGTTTCCAGCCTAGGTCGAGACTTTGAATATGGTCTAGCTTGCAGAGGAAGAGTTTTCGCTTAACCCAGAGCGTGATAGCTGCCTTTGCTTTTCTACTATGAGGTATATATTAATACTGTCATCATCCACATGTGAGCAAACAGAGGCTCTGGAGAATTTTACGTAACTTGTCCCAAGTCACCAAGTCAAATAGCCAGTGAGTCAACTCGCCAGGCTCCTGGGCTGGCAACCACAGTGGTTTCAGGCACTGGAGGTATTTCTATGTGTAGCTCATTTATTCCTCAAAGCCCTGAGTTAGGCACAGATACTTTCTCCAGTCTGCAACTAAGGAAACCGAGTCCAATTGTAAGTTGGAGCGGTGTGACATCTCCCAGTGTAAGTAATAGAGCCAGGGCTTGCCTCAGCATCAGCAGTAGAGTGGGAGGTGAGCTGCCGCAGTATCCAAGCTGGGGGTAACCTAGCAGGAGTTGTTGAACTGGCAGGTAATCAGTATACATTGTAGAGCTGCGAGTAACCTCAGCATTTTAACTTCTTAGTGCTGCTGTAACACACACACAAAAAAATTCTCTCAGTTTAAGAGGCTACAAGGCCAAATTCTCTGGTTCCTGGTATGGTGCTGTAGGATCAGCACTGGACTGCTAAACGCAAGGTTGGCAGTCAAACCCAGCAGCCGCTCTTAGGAAACCCTGTGTAGGGTCTCTGTGAGTTGTAGCTGACTTGACGACTCTTGGCAACAATATCTGAAGGATGGATTTCTCTTTGTCAGCACTGTCTCTTAACCCTTCTGTGTCTAGGTTCCTTGGTCATCTTCATGTGGTACAGCATCCCTCTTTCCTTTCTCTCTGCTTGCTTCTGTGCCTTCGAGTCCTGGGGAGCATTGTAGGAGCAGCACTGAACTGCTATCCCAAAGGTCAGCGGCCAAACCTCGCAGTGGCTCTTCGAAAACCCTCTGCAGGGTCACTGTGATTCAGAACCAACTTGTAGGCACTCAACAACAACAACGGCAATAACAATAACCTGTGCCTTACTGTGCTCTTTTATATCGCAAATGTATTTGTTTACAGACACATCCTACACTGGTGTAGCGCTGTGGGCTAATGCGTCAGAGTGCAAAGTGCAAAGTCCTTTGAACTGCAAGGTCAGTGGTTCAGGCTTGCCAACTGCTCCTATACAGGGTTGTTATGGGTCTGAATTGACTTGATGACACTTAACAACAACTCATTGAAGTGATCTTATTAACATATCAAAGAAATCCCTGTTTTCAAATAGGATTACATCCACAGGTTTAAGAGTGAGGATTTACCCTTAATTTGGGGGAGTACAATTCAATCTATGACACTAGGTGTCTGTGGTAGAACTGACAGTGATTTGTCATCAGTGGCCTAGCTGGGGGTGACCCATGATCTTAGTGCCTATAGTACTGTGCTCCCTGAGACCTTGGCTTCCTTTGATATGTACTATAAGAGTACTTTGTAAGTTTCTCTGTCTTTTCCACTAGTCATTCTCTTCAACCCCCTCACCCTCCCTTTTTCTTCCTACCTGTGTTACTCTCCAGCATGTTATGTTGCTATGCCAATGAGTCTTTTCTCTGCAATAGATCTGTCTACCTTGTGCACAGCAGGCTCTGCCCTCTTATGGGATAAACATTCCTTCTAATTTGAACCTGCTTCCTAGCGCGTCCACTGTTGGGAGCTCACAGCCAGAGCAGGCTGCTTGGTGGCACGATCAAAACTTAGCTGGTGAGGTCAACGTGCTTTGTGAGGAAGCCAGCACTGGTGGGGCCCAGGCACTGGTCACATGCTTACACCCATTTGGGCTGTCTACCTCCCTGGTGACCTTAACATCAAATAAGAATCTAAACAACCAGTCTGTGGACTTGTCATTGAAGTTGTTTACTAAGTTACCCTAAAATAAAACCATGAAAATATTATCTGGCCCTCTCAGCAGTACGGACAAAAAAAAAAAAAAAATTGGCTTCTACCCCCATGCGCCATACACTCCTGACTTTGTAAGCAGACCAAAGAAACCTTGGGGTTTTGCCTGCTGGTAGTTTTCTTGGGATCAGAGTCCATTCCTCGTGATAATTCAACTGTGCTATAGAGTTTCTGTTGACTGAATGCTCAAAGGCTACAAGGACACGCACGAGCAAAAGGATTATTAGCACAAAGAACTTAGAGAAAATCATTGTTCTTTTTGATTTATGTATTTGCATGCTAAGCTTTGCATTGTATCCCCCCAAATTATGTTATAAATCTCTACCTGTACTTTGAACATGTTACCAAGAAGGTCCCTGGAAAAGGACAGCCTACTTAGCAAAGTGGAGGCTCAGCATAAAAAAGGAAGAAGACCCTCAGTGAGGTGCATGACATAGGCTGCAACAGTGGGTTCACACATTAAAAAAGAAAAAGAAAGAATTGTGAGGCTGGTGCAGGGCCAGCACTGTTTTGTTTTGTGAGTCAGAACAGACTCGACAACACTTAACAACAACAACACAAAGGAAACTTCTTCCCCTAGAGTTGGCCCTATAAATTTGGACATCTAGCATCCTAAATGAAATTCTGTTTGCTAAAGCCACCCATTAGTGGTATTTCTGCTTTAGCAGTGGTAGACATGACATTGTTTGAAGGGTGTAGTTCTTTAGCTACAGCAGGCTCTTGCTCCAGTCTCATGCTACGGGCAATGATTGACACAGCCCCCAGACAGCTGTGGAGACGTGGGGATTTAGGAAAATATTGGGAAGTTCAGTCATTCAAGAGGGAGCATATATGATCAAGACCAAATGGGACTGAAGGAAGAAGTCCCAGCTGCACTGAAGGCATTGGTGAAAAACAAGACTCCAGGAATTGACAGAATACAAGTAAAAATCTTTAACAAACTGATGAAGCACTACCGTCCCTCACTCATCTATGCCAAGAAATTTGGAAGACAGCTACCTGGCCAACCAATTGGAAGAGATCCATATGTATGCCTATTCCAAAGAGGCGACCCAACAGAATGCAGAAATCATCTAACAGTATCATTAATAACATATACAAGTCAAACTCTTCAGAAGATAACTTAAAAATGGCTGCAGCAGTACATCAACAGAGAACTGCCAGAAATTCAAGCTGGATCTGTAAGAGGACGTGAAACTAGGGATATCATTGCTGATGTCAGATGGCTGAAAGCTGAGAATACCAGAAAGATTTTTACCTGTGCTTTATTGACTGTGCAAAGACTTTGAACTGTGTGGATCATAACAAGCTATGGATAACATTGCAAAGAATAGGCGTTCTAGAGTATTTAATTGTGCCCAAAAAGAACCTGTACATAGACCAAGAGAATAGAGCAAGGGAACACTGAATGACTTAAAATCAAGTAAGGTGTCTGCCTGGTCTTGTTCTTTCACTATACTTACTCAGTATATAAGGAGCTCTGGTAGTGTAGTGGTTATGAATTGGGCTGTGGATCTAAAGGTCAGCAGTTCGAAACTGCCCGCTGCTCCATGGGAGAAAGATGAGGCTTTCTGCTCCCGTAAAGATTTAGAGCCTCAGAAACCCTGTACAGGGTTGCTGTGAGTCAGAACCGACTCCACAACACATAACAACAACTCAGTATATAATCCAAGAAGCTGGATTATATGAAGAAAAATATGGCATCAGGATTAAAGGAAGACTCATTAACAACCTGCCGTATACAGATGATACAACCTTGCTTGCTAAAAGTGAAGAGGACTTAAAAATATTTACTGATGAAGATCCAAGGCCACAGCCTTTAGTGTGGATTGCATGTCAGTGTAAATAAAATGAAAGTCCTCATAGCTGGACCAATAAAACATCATGATAAATGGAGAAAAGATTGACGTTGTCAAAGACTTCATTTTGCTTAGGTGCACAATCAACATTCATGGAAGCAGCAATCAAGAAATCAAACAACATATTGCATTAGGCATACCTGCTACACAAGACCTCTTTAAAGCATTTAAGAGCAAAGCTGTCAACCTCAGGACTAAAGTGCACCTGACCCAGCTTTGGCATTGGTATTGATTCATATGCATGTGAAAGCTGTACAGTGACTAAGGAAGACCACAGAAGAATTGAAGCATTTTGAGTTGTGGTGATGGAGAATATTGAAGGTATCATTGACTGGCAGAAGAACAAATGGGTCTTTGTTGGAAAAAGTACAGCCAGAGTGCTCCTTAGAAGCTAGGACGATGAGATTTTGTTTCTCATACTTCAGACATGTTTTCAGGAAGGATCAGATCTTGGAGAAAGACATCATGCTTGGTAAAGTAGAGTATCAGTGAAAAAGAGGACGACCCCAATAAGCTAGATTGGCACAGTGGCAGCAGCAGTGGGCTTATGTGTAGCAATTGTGAGGATGGCGCAGGACTAGGTAATGTGTTCTGATGTATATGGGATTGCTCTGAGTCAGAACCAGTTTGATGGCACCTCATAACAACATGGTGTGCAAAAAGCCAGCCTGGTGGCACAATGGTTCCCTGATTGGCGGAGAAAGATGGTGCGTTGTGCCATGAAGATTACATCCATGGAAACCCTATGAGGCAGTTCTATTCTGTCCTGCAAGATCTCTGTTGGTTGGAATCGAGGTAAAACTTATAGTTTTGGTGTGCTAAATAGTTTGGGCTCGACTTCTTGCCTGAGGAACTAGAAGT